AACCAGTTTTCCAGAAATGATGTCTGGAAACTTGTTCCCAGACCTACTCATCAACATGTCATTGGGACAAAGTGGGTCTTCCGGAACAAGATGGATGAAAACGGCGTTGTTGTCAGAAACAAGGCCCGGTTAGTTGCAAAAGGATACTGTCAAGAAGAAGGTATAGATTTTGATGAAACCTTCGCTCCAGTTGCTAGACGCAGGTAGATATGCTTACTCAGCTTTACCGCTGAGCGTGTAGTGTGTTTTATTTGCTACACGCAGGTAAGCAGAAAGCACAATGTGATCCTGGCGGCAGATGGGGCGAGATTGTCGGGATGGATGTGACAAGTTTTCAAACAATTTATGATATGTCAATATTAAAATCGCTTCCGCAATATTGTTGAATACTCCGTATTGTATATGTATTGAAAAATATTATTGGGATTAATAAAGTGTGTTTGAAAAGTTTTAAATTTTTACGATTACCAAGTTAAATGCTTTACTCCGAATGGGGCTGCAGACCTGGACGGATTAGGGTGTTACACAAACACCCACTTCAACGGAGAATCTTCAAATCACAATCTTCATTCAAAATTGAAGCCAGCAAATGCAACGGATAGTCTATTATGATTCAACGGATAGATTATCCAATCCAGCTATAAATAGCATCCTTGGAAGACTGGATAGAAGATGATGAGATACAACAACACAACGAAGCAATCACAAAAGCTATCTCATTCACAGTTAGCCCAAAAAGCTTGATAAATAGAGATTTCTAAACTCCTTATCCAGAAGCAAACTTCTCCTCCTTCTAAAAAGCTATAGTGTAAACACTAGAAGGTTTCCTTGCCTCAAGCACCACACCACGTTGAAGGATATTACTTTTGATCAAACTTATTGATTGAAAAGGGGATAGGTCAACTCTCTTACAAGTTGATCTTGCAAGTCCTATTGTTCGGATCTTGCAGTTGTTGAAGAAACTTGACCTTCGAAGGAACAACAAAGCCAGCACGAGTGCAGTAGCAACATTGGTCTTGTGAAGATATACCATGCAGAAATTCACACAAGTGTAATTGTTGGTTCATTATTCAACAACCAACTACATAGTGGATTTTGAGGACGTAGAAGGATTACCCCACCTTCGAACCTCGTTAAAGTTTGCGTGTCTCTCTCTCTTATCTTTATTCTTACTTGCAATTATATTAACTGTGAAAACTAACCTATCCATATTCATTACTGCTCACTCTACCCACCAAAATTCCGCACACAATCTAAAGTTCACAAGGACTCTAGATTAACACTCATTTTCACGTTTTCAAAAGAAACGAAAAAGATTTTAAATCTGTAACAAAGTCTATTCACCCCCCC